CTGTTCTGATCTTCCTCGGCATGTTTTCTGAATCAGTTACAATTACAATGTGTGTGTGTGTGTGTCGGGTTCTCTTGGCAGCGGAAAGCTGCAGTGACCGCCTCCACCTCCATTCTAAAGCTGGATGTTGTGGTATCATATGCTAGGCTCTCCTGCACCAAACGTCGACCATTAACTTTTGCTAAAAAGCCCCAAGCACTTCTTTTGCCTCTTGACACTGAACCGTCTGTGTAAATGATCAAATCCTCTGAGCGAGCATTATTTTGAATTAATTGCTGAATTTCCACCTCTGTGGCACCTGCTGGCCAGTCTCTGCATTCCCGGCTCAGCGTGATTATGACTCTACACAAGTCTGACTGCTCAGGTGGCACTTTGACCCACTCCTCTCCTCGCCTAATGTTCTCAAGGATGCAAACCTGTCTGATTGTGTCTTCTGCCTGAGATGAAGAATCAGCAACATCTTTGTGGCCTCAAGATACGTACTTGTTCATTTACTGACAGAACGTGAGATGAGAACTAAATTTTCAGTTACTAATTGGCACTTACGGGACTCGAGGGAATAAACAAATATCAGTCAAAGTCGAAGAGTGATCATTTCTTCACCGAGGCGCTCTCGTCAGTTAGAGGCTGTATTTTTTAATCCCACCTTAGCAACTATTGCTTTCAATTTAAAACAATTTACATTATCTAATATGGTCTCTTATTTATACCTTTTTGCTCCACTTGTAGTTAAAAAGTAGAACTGTGTTTCAGACCATTAGGCATATTGGGTATAGGGTGATAGTAAGATATTTTTGGCAATCAAATCAGCGCTCAGTAAGTAATCATTTTCCCCAAATGTTCCCCTTTCAGATTATGGACCATAAGACTAACACCCCTTGGATGAGAATCAAACAAGAGCAATTTCTATATTGGTGATAGACTGAGGCAGGGTGCATTCTCTCACCATACCTATTCAATATATATGCATAACACAACGAGAAATGTAAAAAATGACCATACTTGTGACCACCTCTATCTGTCTTCTTTTACCCCACCAGGACATCACACAGGCGATAAACACCCGATGACAAAAAGTGTCACCATGTGGATGAGGATCGCTGGTGAAGAGGTCCCAGAAACCGCGTCCAGCCATTAGACCAAATTTATGATCCACTTATTCTAGTCCGGAACTTCGCTTCCTAAATATGACATTGTTTAAGCATTTTTAAGGGAAAACAATATTTTATCATGTTTGTCCAAAAACACAGTAAAGATCAGAACATATTCTTGAATTTAATAAACAAAATAATGTCCACAAATAAAACTGACTGACTTTCCACCCCACAAGGACATCACACAAGCGACAAACACCCGACAACACAATATGCCAACATGTGGATGGGGATCACATTGGAGAGGTCCCAGAAGTCGCGTTGGGCCATTATGCCATATGGCCTGGCTATGTTGCGGCCCCTGGCAAGAGACAGGGTTGGGCTTAAAATAACGAAAAATTGTATCCTAAAAAGGACGGTTAATTAGACAGGCGACAAATTAAATCAAACTGACGGACTGACTTTCTACCCCACCAGGACATCACACAAGTAATAAACCCCCGATGGCACAATGTGCCACCATGTGGATGAGGATCACCTTGGAGAGGTCCCAGAAACCGTGTTCAGCCTTTAGGCCATATTTATGGCCGGGCTATATTGCGGCCCCTGGCAAGATCCAGAGTAGGGCTTCTAATAACGAACAATTTCATCCTAAAAAGGACGGAAAGTGACCTTTTAATAAAACTGACTGACTGACTTTCTACCCCACCAGGACATCACACAAGCGTTAAACACCCGATGACACAATGTGCCACCATGTGGATGAGGATCACCGTGGAGAGGTCCCAGAAACCACCTTCAGCCAGTTTATGGCCTGCTTGTATAGCGGCCCCCGGCAAGAGCCAGGGTAGGGCTTCAAATAACGAAAAATGTCATCCTGAAAAGTTCTGGGGCGGGGGAAATGAAGAGAGAGGTGACTCCACTCATTTATTCATGCAGCCTGAGATGATTCCGTTTTGTCTGATTGGTCTGTGTCTTTCGAGGTATTTCCGTTCGTATACTACTTGACGTCCTAATTTTGAGGGCTTTGCTAGCAGCAGATGACATCTAACGCAGTGAATGTTGTTATTTACATGTGAAAATGTAGTTGACTGTGCCACACATTTTGGACGTAATATGTCTTTGATGTGAGGCGCTGAATCCTCCCATTCTGAGCCGGATGAAGACTCATCTTTCACGGCAGCTGCGTTAGTTTTTTTTTTTAGAGTTCCTTTATTTTATCTTTTTGGAGCTGCTGCTGCTGGTGACGTCTCATTTGAGCTGACTTTTTGGTGGTTCCTTTTCTTTACTTTCCTCTTCTTGCCTTCGGTCTGTGTGTCCTCCTCTTTCGTTGAGGACTGTGTGCTTGATATGGTGACCTCCTTTTGCGTAGTGACTTCCAACTCTTCCTGTGGTGGATGGACCTCCTCCTGAATGAGTGTCGTCGCTGGCTCGGGGCGTCTTCTCCGGGTGGGGTACTTGTTTGCCCAGTAATCATTGTGCCCGCAGTGTGAACAATTTGTCCTTCTGCCTGGCACAGTGATCTGGAGCTGGTGTTTGCCGCCGGAGAGCGCCGGATTCCTCATGTTAACATAATGAGGAATCGGCTTTTTCTCACTCACCAAGGCATACCATCTGTCCTTGCCGTGTCTAGCTTAGTAAACTTCGGAATCGTCGTCGCCTGTTATCCCTACAGTGATCTTCTTTGCAGTCTGCTCTGTGGCTGTGATTGGCATCCAGTGCATGCAGACTTTCGTTTTCATTTTTTCCAGATGCACGTCTACACCTTCAACGGTCTTCCGTACATTGTGCAGAAGATCGAATTTAGTTCTGTGTACCTGTACTGTGAGGGTGGGGTATCACTCATTAGGATTTGCGTAGCGGTACAGCTCCGCAATTCCGTGGACAGGCACCCCCAGTGGGCCTATCAAGACGCTGGTCAGCCAGGCAGGCGTTGCCCTGGAGGCTGCATCGGCTCCAGACAATGACACAACAATAGTACCACCTGCCTGGTGAATCCTTCCTCCAGGGAACGCGTCCATCGGCAGGTCCAGGTCCATGGTGGTGACGGCTGCTGCAGGCTGCATCTCGAGTGGCTGTGGTTGGTTGAAGTTGCTCCGCAGGTGGCGGGGGCTTTAGGGAAGATCCCAGAAATCTCGGCTTGTCACCAAAAATTAACAAGAAACGATGAAGAAATTGAAAATGTCATATAAACTTTGAATATCTAGCAATCTATCTATATAAAGCAATGAGAATATTCTACAGAAGTCAAAAAGAACATGGCCATAGCAATGCAAAGATTAAACAGCATTAACAGTCTTAAACATCCAGATATAACCATGAAGACCAAAAGACAATTGATAAACACCATCTTCATTCCAACACTCTGCTACCAGGGCCAAACATGGACAATCAACAAGACCCATGAAAGAAAAATAGAAGCCTGTGAAATGAAATGTCTAAGAAAAGCAGCGAATAAGACCAGACTAGACAGGATAAAGAATATAGACATTAGAAACACTGTCAAAACTACGCCATGTTTAGACTACATAGAACATCAAAGAATGAAATGGTTTGGACATCTAACCAGGATGAAAAATGATCAAATAACATCACAAATTTTCAACCAAAGAAGCTCAGGATATAAGGCAAGAGGAAGACCAAGGAAACGGTGGATTGACGGGGTCTCCGAAACCTGCCAAAAGCATGGCCTCAGAACATCAGATGCTGCCCGCCTTGCTTATGACAGGAACTTGCATCTCCCCACAACGCTTAGCGGCATACGTGAAAGGAAAAAGTAAAAAGTAAGTAACAGTCTATGGGTAAGTACCAGCAAGGAAATGAAGTTAAAATTTTGAGAACATGCATCTTCCTTGTAGCAACATACGGCTGTGATTATCTCCCATTCCTTAAAAACAAAGTAGTGCCTTTTGAGCTACAACGCAATAGAATAATATGAAAAAAGAAGAGAAGAAATAATGCTTTTTCAAGATTTGAACATAAGGAGGAATAGTAATAAACAATATCTTGTGTCGGAAGCTGAAATATTTTGGTCAAATCAAGCGCTATGGTGGATTCGGCAAGAAAACAAAAATCGCAGAAGGTATGGTACCAGGTAGGCAGGACGGAATGCGACTAAATGAAGATCGGCACAGGATATAAGTGACTCACTGAATATGAAAGTGTATGAGAAGGAAGAGCTGGTGAGACTGAGTATCTTTCAGTCAGACCGTGATGAGACTGACGTTCTGCACAGGACCTGCTACATGATGTTGATATTGGTGTACCCTAAGGTGACCTACAGTCTAGTGGGTTAAGTATCATAACTGATGAGGTAGGGGGTCAACACCATGCTGGCATAGAGTAGGGAAGAGGATTGGGGGGGGGGGGGTGCGGGGCCGCTCCAAGTTTTATTATTGAAGGGAGTGACAAAATGGTAAATTTATGCGTTTTAAACATAATAAAAATATGTGGAGTGTGAGTGTTTTGGTGAGTGAAAAAAGGGGGGGGGGGAGGGGGAGAATAGAAATTTTCCGCATCGGGTACCGCATCTGCCTTTTCTATGCCACTGCATTTCTGTCACCTTCACGTTACTCCACAGAAGATATCGTGTGCCAATTTATAGGCTGTATGGATACCCAGTGGTGTGTGTGAGGAGGGGGTGGGGTCCAACGCTTAGAACTTAGTTCGAAAAAGAATTTCCACCACCCTACCAGACAAGTTTACTTGCCAATCAATAGGTGTGAATTTATTTCCCCATCAATTGTGCATTTCAATGTATGCTTCTCGAAAAAAGAAAGAAGGCGGTAGGGGAAACTACTCTAAATTGTGTCGAGAATCAGACGATATTGTTGCGGTTGAAATGTTGCCGGCTGATATATAAAGTCTCAGTCCCTTCGTTTGCAGGGAGACTTAGAGATTTCAAACATGCACAGTATGTCCAGGCGTAAGGTTGCAATAATAACAGGAGGCAACAGGTAAGTAATGATGGTTACGGTTGTGGAATGCAAGTAGACCAGTTCAAACACTTAAAACACATTTTGGCTCTCCTTCGAACTTCTACCCCCGCAGTATTCCGGCCTGAAATATCCGTTCAGGACGCAGTCCAATTAAAAATATGCCGGCTCCGTATAACGAAACAAATGCTCTAACAGGGTCCCAGCGATATGTTACTTGCGGACCTGTTTCTTATTGTTTCTGATTACCTGACAATTCTAAGAGACGCACGCAACACTGCAGATGATAGTAGCAGACGATAATAATAGTAATAGCCACTGTTGACTTTTTCCATTGACGAACTGTCTGCCGACGAACAAATCGCGGCAAATCTAGGATCGGCTCGGAAAAACAAAACAAATGCTCTAACAGGGTCTCAGCGATATGTTACTTGCGGACCTGTTTCTGTAACTATACCTCACCGCCAAGTGTATCCCCAGGGCCGCTACGCGTGGCGCGGATAGGGGCTAAACTAGATGGCTGGGACTCACAAGCAGCAGCTACTGCATCTCCTGCAACATCCTCCATTTACTTAGGGGCTAAACTAGATGGCTGGGACTCACAAGCAGCAGCTACTGCATCTCCTGCAACATCCTCCATTTACTTTGCACGTGAGTCCCAGGCACCTAGTTTAGCCCCCCCACCCCCCCCCCCCCCCCCCCCCCCTCCGCGCCGCTACGTGCGGCGCGGGGGTTACTCTCGGCGGTGAGTTTAATCGTGTTTTGCCCATGCCGACAAGTCTGACATCTACCGCTGCTAAATCCTCAATCGGAAGAACAGTATTGCTAATCTGCGTGGGAGCGGGTGATCCACCCGCCATATCGCTTTCTGTAATGTCTCGAAATTGTCAACGGTCGCTTTTATCGTCTGCTACTATCGTCTGCAATGTTGCGTCTCGTGACATTGTAAGATATTCATAGTTTTTCCGCAATTTGTTCCTCGGCGGCAACTCCGACAAGTCCGTATTTTTAATTGGACTGCGCCCCGAACGAATATTTTAGGCCGCAATACTGCGGTGGGTAGAAGTTCAAAGGAGAGCCTACATTTTTGACATATATAAAAAGGGGAGAGATTGGAATCAAATAGCTGAAGAGTTACTTACAGGCAACAGTAGTAGATAAGGTGATCGACTGGTGTACAGAGATGAGTGTTGTAATCAACCCAGAAAAGGCAACCGTCCTGTGGTGTTCTTTGGACAACAGGATTGTAAAAGCTGAAGTTCCCAGACTCAAAATAAATGGCAGTGACATAAAAAAAAAACAGCAGACTTCGGTCCCTGGGAATGATCTTTGGCAGAAGTTTGTCTCTCAAGGATCACATAGAGGGAACTGTGACAAGGGTTAAAAAAGGTCTAAATACATTAAAGATCATGGCATCGATAAACATGGAGCAGAGAATACTGTTCACACTTCACCACCACTCAATCATCTCAGTGATTGGTTATGGATCAGGGTTACTCACAGTTTTGAAGAGTCAGCTAGAGAAACTAGAGCGCATACAGAATGAAGCTATGTGGCTGATCCTGGGTTGTACAAGAGACACAAAGATTGTGTGCATGCGATACATCCTTGCATTGCCGACTATTGCAGATCGGCTCAAGGTGCTGCAGGCTAAGTCTTACCTCAGAGTAGCTGCAGACAAGGAACACCCTGTGTATGAATCTTTGACTGCAGGCAAGGGTCAGAGGCTGAAAAGGGGAAAATCATGGATGGCTCAAGCAGAAGACACAATAAGACAAGTATGCATGCTGAAGAACATTGTGCGAGGCGAGGAGTTGGTGAAAGTACCAGCGGGAAAGTCTGACCTGTGTAGGGTTATGACCACATTGGGCCGGGTGTGCAGAGAGTGGCCAGCAGGTGCTACGGAGGTTGATGTGCAACAGTTGATTCACGACAATTCACACCCAGGTGATCAGATTATCTATACAGATGGTTCAGTGCTGAGAGGAAAGGGAAGTGCCTGGGGTTTGTAGCGAAAGCCAATGGAAAATCTTTAATGCAAGACAGCTTAGCATATGACACCACAATATCTAGCATAAGAGTGGAGGCGGTAACTGCAGCTCTCCAGTGGCTAGAAAACAAGATGCATACACATGTCGTAATTGTAACAGACTGAAATCATGCTGAAAACGGCGAAGACAGGGATGCTTCGAGCGGGAAAGCTTCACTGGAAAGGTCGCGGGTGGTGAGCATACTTTGGATCTTTTCTCCAGGCTATGCCAGTGTGGTGGGTAATGAACAGGCAGACAGATTGGCTGGATCTGCACCACTGGGTGATGAATTGATACATGACAAGGCAGATGTTGTCAAGACCCTTTGGGAACAAGCAATGGAATCAGTAGAGAAAGAAGAATATTATGGCCTGGAGAATGAGGCACCTGGGTGTAACCAGAGGGTCTGGCCGGCTGACTACACTCAGAGGAAAGGCAAGACAGACTTTCAACCAAATTGTGACCGGTACCATCAGTATTGGAACTCTGTGCTGGCTGCTGAAGATGAGGACAGAGCATGCATGGGAATACCCCAAGTGCTGTGATGTCAATTCTTGACTCAACATTTGACATATGACATGATCACAATGAATGACATGACTACTATTATATTACTAGCTTATGAACTTCTGCCTTTTCATTATGATTATCGTTATCCCCAGTAGATCATAGGCCTGCCACTAGCATAAGTTAAGCACTCATGTTTGTTACCATTTCATTTGTATCTGTTATCTTGTTGGAAAAGTGCTGTTTCATAAGTTCAGATCCCCCGTGTGGGTTCCGGGGCCCTGTTGTGGGGAAAACAAGAATAGACCCACTGCCTCCCCAAAAGCATGTCGTAAGAGTCGACTAACTGGGGAGCTTCCTTTGAAGTCGTAGTGCATCTGCCTGAGAGGCAAGGAACCAGCAGTCTACATTCAATTGAATCAGATCTGTAAAACTGATGCACACGCAACACTCAGGTTCTGGAGCAGGACTGCAGTCCAGAAGTGGACGAACAACCAGAACTTTACGCCAGAGTGTACAGCTGATGAACGCGAAGAAGAAGAAGATAAGTTCAGATCTTTTTACAGTATTTTCACAAATTTCTAGGGTTACTCACAGTTTTGAAGAGTCAGCTAGAGAAACTAGAGTGCATACAGAATGAAACTATGTGGCTTAGCTGTGATAGATCTAACAGAAAGATCTGAAATTGTAAAATGGCACTGTTCCACTATGACTTCGTTGACTTTTTTAATGAACTCATCTGTCACACATGAAATGTTGTCCTTGGCCACCTTCACCACGCACATCTCTACGCCCATCTCTGAATTTCCTGCATCAGTTCCTCACAGAACTGACATTCATTATGTTATCGCTGAACGCACTTAACACATGACACAATCAATGATGAATCTCAGCATCATTTTGACCTTGTGATTGAAGAAAATAAATGATATGATGAATTTTACAGCCGACAGGAAAGGCAATAACAGTGTCCATGTTTATTCATTTGCATTTCCGGAACCACTGAACAAATGTGGCTAGGTTTATATGTAGTGAGCTAAATGACTACTGGATGCTGTAAGCAAAGAACGATGTTGCTATTGCAAAGTTATTTTTTTTTTTTTAAACCAGCCAGTCGTAGATTGATTTTGGAATAGCCTTTCGCCAATTGGCCAGCAGAAGAATACTAGTGACAGTTACTATTGTCTCATCAAGTTTAATATTAAAATATGTTTAATCTTGTTTAAATATCAACAGTGGAATAGGATATGCTCTTGCTGAAAGGCTCCTGGCAGATCATGACAACATAAGACTGTGCCTTGCTTGTAGAAGTAGAGAAAGAGCAGAAAAGGCAGCAGCTAAATTGCAGAAACTGAGTGCAGATGCAGAAATTAGCATAGTTATCTTGGACACATCAAATGTTCAGTCAGTATACTCAGCAGCTAGAGATATTGAGCAAAGGTGGGTTTCTCCTCCACTACTTCATCTTCTTCCTCATCCTCCACCATTTCATACTCTCCTTCAACCTCCACCACTTAATCATCTTCCTCATCCTCCACCACTTCATCTTCTCCTTCATCCCCACCACTTCATCCTCGCCTTCAGCCTCCACCACTTCATCCTCTTTCTCATCCTCATACATTTCTTTGTGTCCTCCTCCTCATCTGCTTGAGCCATGAAACTGGTTGCTACATTCACAAGTCTTACCTTGGTTTTGCTGCATTCACAAGTCTTACCTTGGTTTTGCTGCATTCACAAGTCTTACCTTGGTTTTGCTGCATTTACAAGACTTACCTTGTTTTTGCTGCATTTACAAGATTTACCTTGGTTTTGCTGCATTCACAAGTCTTACCTTGGTTTTGCTGCATTCACAAGTCTTACCTTGGTTTTGCTGCATTTACAAGACTTACCTTGTTTTTGCTGCATTTACAAGATTTACCTTGGTTTTGCTGCATTCACAAGTCTTACCTTAGTTTTGCTGCATTCACAAGTCTTACCTTGGTTTTTCTGCATTGATTTTTAAATTTCTCTTTGCTGCAATCACACAGTCATGGACAGTTAACTCATTAGGTAAAATTATGATAAGAATACCATAGACAATGGATTTTTTTTCTTCTAGACAGAAAGGTACTTGTAATCACCACAAAGTGTCTATTGCAGTAGTGCTGAAATAAATTATACCTACTGCCATTTTAAAACAGTCCTGAAGTAGAGAAATAAAAATGTAGCAAAGATGTCTTGAAAGAAATGATCTCACAAAGAGAACTGATTACTACTACTGGAAGAAGACAATCTGCATTCTTTGGGCATATTGTGAGAAAGGGAAAACAGGAGTACTTTATGACAGCAGCAAAGTGTGAGTGAATTAGAGAGATAGACTCCAAGAAAAAAGATGATTGACAGTTTGGCATCATGGCATTGAAGAACATCTGTATCAGAAAGGATTGACAGAATGCCACATTGCATGGAATGTAAGAACAAGAATCATATTAGTTGAGTGTCATTTCTTCATTATCTTCTTTTATTTGTACAGGTATGTCTTTAGTATTTGGTTGGGATATATTAACCCTACCAGACCGCTGGCCCTGTTTTCCGGGAATTTCATAACTGTTCTCTATACCGCTGGCCCAAATTTTTGGCTATTTGCATAGTGCATAGGAAAGATGCGTCACTGACTAAAAATAACCAACCAATCGTCATCAGTCCGCTTTGTTAGACATTGCAAATGGCTTCCCTGTGTGTGTGAATCAATTTTGTGTGTTTAAAAAAATTCAGAATGAAGCGAGTGGCTGATGAACCAAGTTCTAGGCTTTTCACAGTCCAACAGGTGATCGATACTTTGGTTTATTCAGACTCTGTGATATATATATATATTCATTATCTGTGATAATTTCATAAAGAATATGTTCTTGAAGTGACACTGTCAGTGAGAGCGCGAATGATGAGGAAAATCATGAAAATTATCAATCTTAAAATAGATCGATAGTAGGAGGAGGGGGTGTGTCCATCAAACGGCAGCATCTGGTGTTCACTTTGTGAAACAAAGTTGATCCTGATGAGTGAATTCGCACACAAAGGTGGAATATTGGTGCTAGATAAAAGGTAAGCCTATTTTCTACAATGTCTCAAAGTTTCATCATATTCTTGCCACTCGTTTGCATGAAACTAATATTTTTGTATATCATGTTGGTTTTTTCGCGGTAATGCCCAAGAGCTCAGGTTATAGGGACAGTTAGGTTCAGGGCCTTAGGTCTGGTAGGGTTAAGGGACTCTAAATGCAAGGTAGTTCAAAATTTTAGTAATATTAAAATATGTTTAATCTTGCTGAAATGGCAACAGTGGAATAGGATATGCTCTTGCTGAAAGGCTTCTGGCAGATCATCACAACATCAGACTGTACTCTGAAAAATTTTGATGTGGTCTGCCAAAAGTAACAAAACAATATTGGATGAAGAAAAAGGAAGAAGAAAATTGAGTTTAAAAAAAAATATTTTTTTATTAAAGTGCCAGAGCTTTTAATTTTCCAGATATGACCATATAGACTGGTTGTACCTCAATGCTGGAATGCTAAAAGTCAAGGGAGTAGACTGGAGTAATTTCTGGGAGGGCTTGTTCTCCAAGTAAGTGAGCTCTGCATTTCTTAAGACATTGATATCCCGCTTATGTTGTTAAAAGCATTTTTTATGGTGCTGAGTCTTCTTCTTCTTTGCAGTCACCAGCTGTAAACCCTGGCAGAAAGTCCTGGTTGTTCATCCACTTTTGCATTTTGACCTTGTCCCAGGACTAGAGTGTTGTTTGCACACCTGTTTTACGGATGTGACTCATCTATGGGGAAACTGTTAGTTCGTTGTCACTCAGGCAGATGCACTCCTAGAAGACAATTTTGATCTTATCTGAGCCATATTCTCAATTAGAAGGAAGTCTGTTTCTAGGATGACTGCAGAGAGGTGTAGATCAGTCTACACTAGTTTGAGTGCTGGTGCACCACCACATGTGGTTCCGCACCTCTGGATCCCATACTATGTCTAAATACTTATAATTATTTTTGTTCTTGTTTTTAGTTCTTCATAAATGCACATTTATATCACTGTGACAGTATGTGTTTATAATTTTGTTTGTGATACAGTCTCTAATATATTTTGTTCTTGCTTCTCCGCACAGCTTTGATATAGATCCAGCCTCATAACATAACCACTGAGTAATACTGTAGTAAGTTTTTTCTAGGACTTTCCAGTGTAGGAAAGGCATCAAAGACTAGTCATATAGCTTCTGTCTTCTTTGTCATAGAATATATGAGGAGCTACCATTTCATAAAAATACAATCCTAACCTGCACAGTTCATGGTGACAGCACTAGCCATACAGTCCTAAATCCTCCAGTTCAAAGACTCCTCTGACTAGACAATGCAAATAATAAATACAGGCAGAGATAGTAGTTTTTACCATTTCACATTACAATAGGAGTATCTGTTGTGGAACTACTTTAAATATACAGTTATTAGCGGTTCGAATTCTTGATACTTATCAATGTGCTTCTGCACAATCTATGATATACCCCAATTGGAGTTCGTGATGCTTTTCAATGTGCTACAGCACAATCTATCATATATATACCCCAGTTGAAGTTCTTGATACTTATCAGTGATCTTCAGCACAATTTATCATATACCCCAGTTGGAGTTCTTAATACTTATCAGTGTGCATCAGCACAATCTGTCATATATACCCCAGTTGGAGTTCTTGATACTTATCAGATGGCTCCAGCACAATCTATCATATACCCCAGTAGGAGTTCTTGATGCTTATTAGTGGGCTCAAGCACAATCTATTAAAAATACCCCAGTTGGAGTTCTTGATACTTATCAGTGTGCATCAGCACAATCTATCATATATATCTCTGTTGAAGTTCTTGATTCTTATCAGTGCACTTGAGCACAATCTGTCATATACCCCAGTTGGGGTTCTTGATGCTTATCAGTATCTCTGTATAACTTCCCATTCTGAGTTCTTAATTCTCAGTGTTTTTGTTAAATTTTAATAATGTTAGTGTCATATTCATCGCTTGCTCATTTTATTCATATCCTTTTCAGCATAGCCTACTGCAGTGATTGTTTAACTCATTATACCTTATAATTGTTATCTAAGGTAAGAAATGTCTGGGTTCAAGTAATAGCTTTAAAGAATTTACAAAATGTAAGTAAAAATTAGGATAGAATGGGGTATTTAACAGGTCTGTGGAAAGTAATTAGTTAACAAAATCATGTCATTTTGAGCTTATCCAGTAAACACACAATGCATTGTGTGGTATGAATTAACATAAAAAGATGCTCAATTTCGTTTTGAGAAGATTAAAGTTCAGTTCTGTTTTTGATTAGTTCTTTTATTGAACCAGTATAGATATTCCTTGATTAAACCTACTTTCATAAAGCTAGCTCAGTCGCAGTAAAACTTTCATCCTTTTACCATTTGGAGCTATTCTTTAAACATGCTGCTTTCATTCTGTTTCAGACGAGTACTTTTTATGTTCACAACTGGAGAAGGACTTCTCATACAAGAAGATGGTGTCACTGATGATGGGCTCCAGAAAGTATTTCAGACCAATGTTTTTGGACATTATGTTCTGGTAAGGGCGATATTTCATTCAGAAAAGACCTTTGTCATAAGCTGGTGCCCGCACTGAGTAAAGAGAATAACTTAATGTAATAAAATAACATACAGAGCTTTGTGAGAGAACTAAACACATTCCAGTGAATCTTGAAGTGAGGAAAAGACCATGGCAAAGGATAGGATACATATTGAGAAAATCTTATAAGAGTTTAACTACAGTGTCCTTGATCTACATTTTTAAATAAAAGAAAGCAGACACACAAAAAATGAGAAAGAAGTTAGAGTTTGAAATGTGAAAAAAAAAGAAATTTTTTTTTTAAATGTAGAGAATATTGGGTGAGCTGCATGCAATAGCAAAGGGTAGGACAAATTGATCTGAGTTGTTTGAGGCCTATGCTCCATTTGGGGAATAAAGGGCAGAAGAAGCAGAAGCAGTTTATCATGACCCTTGTATAATATCTTGAATTTTTCCTTTCAAGTACAAATTTGTTATATTTTCTGTCGAAAAATCAGAAGGTTTATCTGAAAATGCGGCTCTCCAGCGGGAGAGTGGAAGATAAACACCACTTGATAAGTTGGCCAGTATGCACAATAATTAATAAAAACATCAGCATCATCATGTGCACTGCCAACTGGCGTGGGCGCTCATGCATCTCCACACATCATGATCCGTAGTTGCCTGGAACAGCTCTCTTGGTGATATTCCTCCATGTCATCGTTTCAGCCCATTCAGCATCATCTTTCTTGGTCTGCCTCTACTCCTTTTTTCCACTGATCTTTCCAGTTGTTACGATGTTCTCCAATGTCTTTGTTCTCATTATGTGGCCAAAGAACAGTGTTATGTCTGTTTATTTTTGTTGTATACAAAGATCTAATTTCATTAGCTTCTTTCAAACAGTCGTTGTTAGTTACTCTGGTCATCCTATGTATTCGTAACATTCATCTTAGAAACCACATCTCTGTTGCATCCAAATTCTTTTTAATTTGTTAATTGACATTCCAAGATTTTCTGCCATACAGCAGAACCGGTTCTATGTAACATTTTAGCACCCTCTTTCTGACATTAAATGAAAGCGATTTATTGCATAAGATTTTTTTCATTTTCTGAAATGCAGCTTTTGCTTGACCTATTTTGCTTTTAATCTCTGTCACACATTTTCCATTTGATGATATGACTGTTCCCAGATATTTGAATTATTGACTGAAGTCTTTTTCCTTCAAATTAGATATCACAATGTGGAGTTCTCTTTTTCTTTGATGTAACCATTACATCCATTTTGTTTATATTCAATGAAAGTCCTTTCTTCGCACTCTCCATTCCCACAATATCCAGCAGTTGTTGTTAATCAGTTGCATTTTCAGCTATAAAAACTGTATCATCTGCATAAAGCAGATTGTTTATATTGTATCCTCCAACTCTTATTCCTGCTTTCTCTTTAATTTCCTTCAGAATTATTTCAATATATAGAGAGAAAGGGTCTGGGGATAAGACACATCCCTGTCTTACTCCTTGCTTTATCTGTTCAAAAGTACCCAGTCTGTTTCCCCACTTAAATTGCTGCTACTTGGTTCCAGTAAATGTTTTTAATTATTCTAAGAACTTTCCCATCTACATTGATGTCTTCCAAAATTTTTATCATCTCCTAATGTTTAACTTTGTCAAATGCTATGGTATAATCTATAAAGCACAAATATAAGTCCTTTCGTTTTTTTCATTGATTGGACAAATGGTCATTTAAAAATACAGTGCAGACCTGATAAGGAAAACTCACCTGGGACACACAAAATAGTTCTTCTTACTAGAAATTCATCTTATCCAGATAAGAGTTCAAGCAAGAAAAATTTCTGAGGAAAAACAATTTGTTTTTACAACAGAAATTTGACACGTCAAAGATCTCCATGAGTGGCCTGCACTGTACTAACATCAGATCTGAATATAGAGAAAATGGGTTCATAAAGTTTAAAGTGAAAGACGATTGACTTCACTCCTCTGGATCTCACATAACTCGGCCTCTCTCTCTAAAGAATGGCTAGCTGTTTCTCAAGAGCATCACACAGAGCACAAACTCCATAACTCCAGTGATAATCTCCATAGATTTCGACAAAAATTGTACTAATGAACCAAATGGCACTTCATGGCATGAACCTACAACTTTTAAAAGAAGAAAATGTGGCAGATGGCTGAACTACTTGGTCATGGGGAGTCGTCATAAAAGCACCAGGTCTTGGAGACTTGTATTTTGACCATATTAAGTATCATAGTGGTTTAGGAAGGTCAGTGGTAGGCATGGTCTCTGGAAGATGAGGCATGATCAACCAACATGATTAGACAGAGAACAGTAGAGACACACTGAGTATGGAAATATGTGGTGCGTGGTCAAGCAGCATGACTGTGGACATAGAACTCAAGACACCCTAAAAATGAAAATGATGGAGGGAACAGAGAAGGGATCAGTAAACTTTCCGGCAGGTAGAGTTGAGAGCTGCAGATTTCTTGCACCCTAACGTTGATAGTGACCAGTGAAGATACTGACGGACCTTAGTGGTACAATCAGCTAAATATGTTCATAACCATTTGTATCTCTTTAATGCCTTTAAGGGAACCCCAGGTAAAACCAGATCTCCGGCTGTATAAAGAATATTTCCTCAAACTCTGAATTTAAATAGGCAATTCATTACACTGCTTTAATCCTATCTACTCAGGGTTTTTTTTTTTTAAACAGAGTATCTGCCCGCATGCTAAAAATGTCACACAAAGTACTGACCTCTCTGTGTTGGATCTAGGGCTTTACTGCCCCACTGACTAACCCACTGTCTCCCTGCTAAGCTTGTCATAAAAGATGTCTAATTATGCATAGGAAATAGGATGTTTTGGGCTGAATGGCTCAGATAACACAGCCTAACTGTAAACTCTAACACCATGTGTGAACCACCCTTTTAAGGGCAGATGCAGAAGAAGAAGAGGTTTGTAGCTCTAGCTCCTCATCTTTTTTGTTTTGTTTGAGGTTTTAGACTGTGAGCCCTATGTGAAATATAAACAAGCATATCAGGGTGATGATGCTATTACATTTGTATGTAAACTTTCTCTCATAAGATTAAAGAACTGGAGGCTAAACTGGGAAACATGTCCGGCAACGGTGAAGCTGTGTCCCAGTTGATTTGGACATCATCTTCTGCTTCCCTTGAGTATAATTTTGACATTGAGGATTTCCAGCACAAGAAAGGGTGAGCTCTCTCTGGCACAGTGTTTTGTTGACAACATTCTCACTCTTGAGTTATGGTAATTTATGGTAACAATAGTAGAATAAATCAAATCAAAATAGTAGATGAATGTTGAATTAAGTATAACAGTACTTGGGACATTGGTTCCTTATTAGTTAGATTTAGCAGCCACAGTTTTCTGTGGATTTAGTTAGACCAGTGGCACTCAACCTTTCTAATGTCGCGACCCTTTAATACAGTTCCCTCGTGTTGTGGCACCCCCAAACAGTTTTTTTCATTTATAACTTCAATGAATATGTATTTTCCAATGGTCTTAGACGACCCCTGTGAAAGGGTCATTTGACCCAAAAAGGGTCGCGACCGGCAGGTAAAGAACTGCCAATTTAGGCAGTCTTTAGCATTTCTCCACAATTTGTGTATCTTCAGCAAAAGAAATCAGCTCGTTTGTTCATAGTTTTCCGTGCCTCAGTGCAAGGTCGTCCAGAATCCACTTTATTCTCCATAAATCTTTCGTTCGATTCTTTACTTTGCATCTAGCTCTTTCCATGTCCTCCACATCTTTTTAACTTCATGCTGTAGCTCCCTTCTACATGTTTTTTTTTTGCCCGTTATTTCTATGCCCCTGTGGGATTCAGTGCAAAGACATTGTAGAAATGGGCCTTGCCACATAATATTTCTAAAGCGAGCGGTGGGTGTACACCAGCCAACCTTTACTGTGGATATGGTACAAAGAAAAAATATATCTGTTTTTTAACTCTCCATATAATATGTCTAGGAAATTTGTAATCTTTTCCCCCCACAAATGCTAAAGAAAATGGGCCAAGAGCCTGTGAGAATTCCCCACTAAAAATTCTGACGAAAACCTTCTTCACTGAGTCTAAAATAAATTACTTCTACTCAGTTGATCCAAGACAGTTATAACTTTTAAATCTGTCTTATTTTAAAATAAACAGTGTCTGAAGCAGAAAGAGTTTTAAAAAACATAAACTTTATTGACACATAAGAGACAGAATAATCTTACATGTGAAACCTTTCTGCTACAGGGGTTTTAGACAGGTTCTCGCATGTGCTACGGAGTTCTTGCACTGAGCTAAGAATCTTTGGACTCAGACTTGAGTTAGAATAAAATGGAGCACTTATGGGTTAGTACCCTTGTGCCATGATGTTGATCCGTTGTTTAAACCTTAAACCTTAGGCTACGAAATAAAAATTCTTTCTTCAATTCCCTATTATTATACATACATTTTTTTTTAATAGCAAAGACCCCTACAGCTCATCCAAGTATGCAACAGATGTTCTTAGTGTCGGTCTTAACAACAGAATGAACAAACAGGTAAATACTGTTTGTTGTAAATTAAAATTTATTGCACTTAGTATAAGTTTAGTTTTGGTGTTTACTGTGAACTTGGTGAACAGGGGTCGTGTTAGCGCAGTCGATAGGGAGACTGGCTTTCAAATCCAGCTGCAGTTCGCTCTGAGGTGATGGAGGAACGTTATTGTAGCTACGGAGTTGCATGTGAATGGCAACATAGGCGGACAGTATTTTATAAGCTGTCCTTACTGGTGGCAGAACACTTATGGTTTATTACTGTGTGCAGTGACGCTGCTTCACATCTCCCAACATGACCTTTACTGTGAACTGGGTTTCTTTAACAAATCTATTTATGTGGATTTTAACAGGCCCTTTGGTTTTAACTCACTGTTTCAAATGTCGTTTAGAAATTGTGTTTTTAATTTGATCCCCAAATCTCTCAGCTCATCAAAATTAATCCTTAGTCAATACTGCCTAGTCCTGGTGCTATTAAAGATATAATAGCTATATAAGATGGAAATGTCAGCAGAAAGACAGAACATTTATAGTTTCCAAAATCCATTTATATTATATATAAATATATATATGTGTGTGCGTATTTTTTATTTAATTTATATTTTTGATAAACTGCTTGGTATGAAAATATAATTTATGCATTTGTCTGAATGATTAGTTTTGCCTAATAAAAGTGTTTTACCCATTTGATACATGGTTCTAACATTCCAGTAACCAATTTTAAAGATGTCCTTTGAATTTAACAGATTAGAACGAATCATCATGCAGTTAGAGCCAATTTCTTGTGTGATTCCAGTACTAACCTATGGATGCGAGAGCTGGAAACCAACGAAAACTCTAGACGCAAAATTAGACAGTTTTGAAAATAAATGCCTTAGAAGAATACTAAATTTCAAATGGTCAGGTTTCCGAACCAATACACAAATAAGGCAAGAATCCAGGCAAGAGTATGTGTCTAATTTTATACGAAAACGCCGCTGGAACTATGTCGGCCACGCCCTTAGAATGGATAAATCAAGACTTCCTTACCAAGCCCTCATTTGGACACCACAGGGGAAAAGATCTCGTGGAAGACCAAGGGAAGCCCTACGTAGAACTATCATCAGGGAAGGCTCGCTCATGGGCCACTCAAACATCCAAGACCTACAACAGATTGCAACGAACTGCCATGCATGGAGAGTCATGACCTCTGCCCTATGTGCCACACTCGACACAAGAGGAAAGACTAACTAACTAACTAACTAATAAAAGTGTTAATAAAATGTGTATGTATCTGTTAATCCATACAAAGCAACAGATCTGATTTAAAATACTATAACATTTGATCATATCTTTTTGCTCGTATGAAAATTATTAATTATGCTGGTCACATAGACTGATACATGGATTTCAAATATTGGCCATCACAGAATGCAGTATCACATGTCCAGTTTTCAAGCTTCTTAATTTAATTCTTTCAAAGATCTTTGGTACCCTTTCATGAGGCTTGCCGCTCCCTTTCTTTAGTGATATACATCTGCTTCTTCTTCTTCTCCTCCTCCTCCTCTTCTTCTTCGTCTCCTTCTTCATCTTGGTCTTCGTCTTTTTGTTCTTTGTCTTCGTCTTCTTCATCTTCTTCATCTTCTTCTTCTTCATCTTCTTCTTCTTTGTTTTTGTTTTTTCATCTTTTTCTTCTTCTTTGTCATCTTCTACTTCTTCATCTTCTTCTTCTAATTTTTTTATCATTGTCTTCGTCTTCTTCTTCATCTTTTTCTTCTTCATATTCTTCTTCCTTTTCTTCTTGGTCTTTTTCTTCATCATCTTCATCTTCTTCTTCTTCTTCTTCTTCTTCTTCTTCTTCTTTTTCTTCTTTTTCTTCTTCCTCTTCTTTTTTCCTTCTCCTCCTCCCCCTCCTTGTCCTTCTTCTTCTTCTTATCATCTACTTCTGCATCTTCACCACTCTGAGCCCTTGAGGTTAATTGCTGCAGATATCACCCACTTCCATTTATCTCTGTGATTGGCCTTTTCTTTCTATTTAGTATCCCCAAATGTGTGTAAGTCTGTCTGTATATTATCTCTCCAGCATCTTTTTTTTTTTTTTTTTTTTTGGGGGGGTGTCTTCCCTGTGGTCTACTCCCATTTAGATCTGTTATTTACAGTTTGTATCTCTCAGTTGGTAGCCATTCTCTCTCTTGCAGGCTGTTGGTCATTATGATACCAGTAATGATAGAAATTTGATGTACTAAGTCTGTCACACAGGGGATTGAACCTGAGTCTCTGTATTGTTTTCCAGTATGCTAACTACATAGGGGAATGAACCTGGATCACTGTGTTTGTTTTCAAATGCACTAAATACTCTAAAATAGTTCCTAGAACAGTGCCACCCATTTGAAAATGTTTTATTTTCTAATAGAATGTTTACTCACACGTGATGTGTCCTGGACTGGTGATGTCAAACTTGACCTACGAAATCCTACCTCAGTGGTTTTGGGTTCTGGTGTTACCTTTTCTTTGGCTTGTAAGTATAAGAATATGTTACTTAGCAATGTTTCTGTAATGGAGAAACAACTTAGCCACAGGAGATTCTTCTGCTGTCTTGGATATAAGTGTGCTTGTTTTAGAGAACAAAGGAATGTTCATTCTCTAGAGACTTCACTCTGAAATTTTAGTACATGCAAAAGAGACAAAGCCTTATTACAGACATTGAAGAATAGAGTCTTTGATGAATCTTAAAAGAACCCATTAAAGGTAAAAACCTGTGAATGGAGAGTGAGAAGCAACAACGAAATTCGTAATCTAGTTGAATCAACACACATTGATTACTGACATCATGAGGAGTAATTTACTGCAATAGTAAAGATCCCTTTTTACGCCTTTAGGCGCATCGGGCATATGTAACAGCACCCATGTTTTTACAGACCAATCGGCACTAGATGGGTAATGTGGTCAGCATTATGCCGGCCGTCTTTACTTCCCCAGGACATACATCCTGGTACCCATTTTAGGCTGGGTCAACTTGCGACGCCCCATACCATGTTAAAACTCAATAGACTGCAATGGTTGGATCAAAAATTGAGAAATGGCAGATAACAGAGAGACAAAATCTACAAACACAGAAGAGTAGATCATGATTAGACCACAAGAAAGACCAGGGAGATTTTTCCAAGGAGACTGTGGAGATTATATATAGGCAGACCTAAAAACACAATCACCAACTGGAAAGAGAAGGCCAGTCACATAAATGAATGTTATCAGATGATATATGCAGCAGTGGACCTCAAGCTGCAACCGGCTTTGTTCCAAACATACTGGTGTTGCCTCTCCTTTTGAGTAAACAAGGCAGGTCAAGTGAGGGATCATGATGCATGGGAAGCATTTGGTCTCTGCAATACTGCCCAGGCTTTGTGCTGTGGAGAGGATGAACTTTATCCCTGGCCATAATTGGCCTCAGAAACTTTTCAGATAATTTTGGTGGTATATTGATCCATGCTCGATATAATGGCTGCCTTTACAATGCCCGTAGGCTAAAGGCCAGACTCAGGATAACAAAGTTACTTATAAGAGAGCTGCTCTTTGCAGTTATTGCAGCAATAACCACCCACTCCAAGGAGGAACTGCAATGTTTACTATCTGCCTTTGCTGATGCGTGCTGTGAATTTGGACTAACAATTAGCAAAAAGAAGACAAAGGTTATGTTGCAATGCATTAATGATAGACCTATAGTCTACATTCACGGTGAAGAGCTGGAGACAGTTGACCATTTGACTTATCTGGGTTCCACAGTGAATAGTAAACTATCGCTAGACCAAGAAATCAACATCAGGAGAGGTAAGGCAGCAACAACAATGAGCAGATTCACAAAAAGAGTTGGGAGAACAGAAGCTTACAATTAAAACAAAAACTCTTGTCTATCAGGTTTGTGTTCTTAGCACTCTGCTTTATGGCAGCGAAACTTGGTCGACATATTCGCACCAGGAAACACAGCTAAATAGCTTTCACGTGCGATGCCTAAGAAGAATACTTGGCATTAAGTTGCAGGACAAACTCAGAAACACTGAGGTACTGGAAAGAGCAGGTACTACAACAATCTTCTCACTGCTCAGTCTGCGAAGGCTCAGGTGGTAGGGTCATTCCTGGAGAAATGAGGATGGCAGAGTCCCTAAGGACATCCTTTGTGGTGAATTAAAGATGGGTATGTCGAGGCCAACATCTACTATGATATAAAGATTTGTGCAAGTGTGATGTGAATGATACAGATAGTGAGGTGGACTGAGGGGAACAAAATGCCAAGGACCATGATGTGTGGAGGGCGCACATCAGGAAGGGAATAAAAATGAAGGAAGAAATGATTGCAAAAGGATGAGAGCTGAGCGTCTGAGAGGAAACTGATTAAACACAAATATTGACAGCAGTGGTCCTGAAATCCATGCTATCATTGTGGAAGATTTTTCTTAACATGGGCAGGTCTTGCTAGTCACACTCACCATCGCTATGGGTTGTGAGTCCCATGCCTCCGCATAGTGCAATATAACACTATCGTCTATAAAGACCAAAAGCTGCCAATCAGGACCTCAAGAAGAAGTATATTGAATCTTTACATAGGATTTAACATCCTGTGTGACTTGTTACAAAGAATGTTCATCATCCTCCAGGACAGTGGTCAGCAAACTCATTAATTAAAAGAGCCAAAAATCAAAAACAGAATGAAAAAAAAAATTTTTTGAGAGCCAAATTTCATGTCAAGAACCATGTTTTTCAGATTCAAAACTGATTTGTGGCTGACTGGACGAGCCGCACACAGGTCACCAAAGAGCCATATGTTATCATCCTATTAGGTATAGAAAATTGATCTTTTGAATTCAGTTAAATGTCCTTGCATAACTAAAATAGTTTCATATAAAGATGTCTGTCATATTATTTTCATTATCTTTTTATACCAGATGCGCCTCTGTGTTCCTACTATGACCAATTCTGCTTCTAATGGTTCAGAGGCTCTGGTAAGTATGGCCTTAGATATTTAGTATGCTTTTGGGAACATTTAGTGTTTGTGATTCTCTCTCTCTCTCTCTCTCTCTCTCTCTCTCTCTCTCTCTCTCTCTCTCTCTCTCTCTCTCTCTCTCTCTCTCTCTCTCTCTCTCTCTCTCTCTCTCTCTCTGTGTGTGTGTGTGTCTCTCTCTCTCTCTATCTCTGTGTCTCACACTGTCTCTCTCTCTCTCTCTCTCTCTCTCTCTCTCTCTCTCTCTCTCTCTCTCTCTCTCTCTCTCTCTCTCTCTCTCTCTCTGACTCTCTCTATCTCTCTGCCTCTCTCTCTGCCATATAGAGTAAAAATTTTAATTTAAAAAAGGGTGTAAAACATTATTATCGAAGCTAGTTCACTTGGTAGAATCTGTAGTCTGTTGTATCATCATCAGCATCAGTTTCCTCTTTGCCGTTAAGCGCTGTGAGGATCTGTTGCTCAGTGGGTGGCATTAGCTATAGCCATTCATTGTAAATGAAGAATGCCTAAAAATTCATCAGTTCATCTTCTCCTTGGACTACCTCTTGCTCGCAAATCAGATCTTTTTGCCTGTGTTGTTAAATGTTTTAACTGCGTATAATCTGTTTAACACTTACCTGACCAATTTTTACAATCGTTGAATTTTCCGGCTATATCCATTGATGACCAGCTTCGACGATCACCAAATTTGTGACATGTAGACTGCAAACAGATGGCCCTACCGATAGTTTTCGAACTGAGTTTCATTCGTGTATTTTTATTATTTTAAGATGGCTGCGCCTATGATAGCTATCACGTTTGTGCCGTTACAAGTGTTGTTTTCATGTCTCATGGTGATTACTAATGATTCGGAATCTGCCAGCAAATATAGTGCTGAAAACCATAATTTATGGATAAGTATTGGCTTACCTGTGAATGTTATCGTCATATCGCAACTGAAAGTAGTGACAACGAGGATAGACCTGATGACGGAGGTGATGTAGGCACATCTGAAACAAAGAAGTAGGTGTGGCACAAGAGACCAAAACATTTCTACAGCTGAAAATGCTGTTTGTGAAGTTAGAAAGACTGCTCAAAATGAACTTGGTAAGCTAAGGGGTTTGGTCTTCCTTTATTTCTGTGCCCCTGCTCAAAATGAACTTGGTTAGCTAAGGGGTTTGGTCTTCCTTTATTTCTGTGCCCCTGTGGGTACAATTGCAGAGATATTCTAGCTATGTTCAAATTTTCTTAACGGGTATCATATTCAATGCAAGCATGTTTTTTTTTTCACCTCTTGGTCCACTGGAACTTGTTTAGTTCTCTCCCAAAGCTCGACATTAGTGATTCTATTATACCATTTAACTCCCTCTATTCTGCACAGACACCAGTTAACTCTTTGAGTCCCAGGGAGTTTAGCGTTGGAGGTCCAAGGGATGGTAGCGCAGTTTTGAGATATCACAAGTGTTACACATTAAAACAGACCATATTAATTCATCTGCCGCCCAACATACACATATTATTCATCAAAGTGACCAAGGATTGTTGAGGAATAATAATAAAATACCGCTACAAAAATAAATTGTGTTAGTGGTTAATTATTATCAAATAAACAGATGGTGTGTTTAGAGAAATTAGTAAAAAGAAATTATAATCTTTCCACTTACCACAATGACACTCAAGAAAAACTTGATGAAATATATTTTCCCAGTAGATCTTGTCCAGATAAACTTTTCAAACATCATAACAGAGCCACTTTGGGGAAAAGGATGGGGGGGGGGGGGGGGGTAAAGAAAAATAACCTCTGAAAACAATTAGTATTTTCACTTACACACAAAAAGAAAACTTTATATAACACTCAGGTTGTCCATAATTTTATAGACTGTGTTCCAAAATAATAAGGGAATTGCACTAGACCTAACTGACACTGACATCTTTTTTGCTTTTTTTTTTTTCCATTAACATTCATTCTCTTTGTACCAGCTGACTTTGTTATCACTGTAGGCTTTGCGTAAGGTACATATAATAGCTATTCTTCATCAAAGTTTGACTCTGTCAATGACTGAAACAAGTCTACTTCAAACAATTTTTCTCTAGCTACAGATAAATCTGATGTGTTATTTAAATATGAGACTTCTAAAGTCATAAATCGTGTTGGCATGCATGAAGAAGTCTGCTCAGGGGCAATATTGTTTTCACACAGATAGTAACTCGGTAAAGCACACAAACATGCTATATTTTATGCTTTTAAACACAAATATCCCAAATGGTCACTACATCTGACTTCAAACACAAGGAACGGGAAGTACCATACAAAACTGCGGGTTTGCGTCAGTTAAAAACATAAGCGCTTCAGGCACCAATTGGACGACTGTGTGGTAAGTGATTACTGCATGATGTCTTCCTTGAGACTCAGTGAGTTAATGAATGTTCGTAGTTTAAATTGTCTTATTTACACATTCTATTCTATTCTCATGTGTGTAGGTTTGGTTATCGCATCAGGACCCAAGTCAGCTAGATCCACAAAGCAAGTTCCAAAGTTCAGTCACTGCCTGTGGGAAACCTTATGTTGAGACCACAAAGGTGAGCTGAACACATCAAACATTTTTTAATTTACAAATATTTGCATTTCTTTATTTTTGAAGAATCTTTAAGGCTGTCATTTCTTTTTCTTTCATCTTGTCTCCTAAAATATTTCATCAGACATTGCAAAATTAGAAGACACCTTGCATGCCAGAGGCAAAAAGGACACCTCTCACGCCAGAGGCAAATAGGACACCTCTCACGCCAGAGGCAAAAAGGACACCTCTCACGCCAGAGGCAAATAGGACACCTCTCACGCCAGAGGCATATCTTGCATATGGCCTGCAGATCTGAAGGTCATGGGTTCAAGTCTTGTCGGAGCTGGACCTTTTTCAAAAATGAGTTTTCCTCCCAAATTGACCAGCCATTAATGGTAAGGTCCTATGAAGAAACGTTAGCCAGATTGACGCTGACCACATCACCCACCAAATCTGATTGATCAGTACAATAAAGTTCTTGTCCTATATGCCGAGTAGAGTACGCCTAAAAGCGAATAAAAGCGTCCTTTACTGCTTACTTTTACTAGCCCTCTCCGCCCAGTATGCCTGAAGGTGGGGGAAAGGGTCCTTTTACTTACTGAATGGGGCATGTAGTCAGCATCATGCTGGCTGCCTTTTCCAGCACCCTAGATGGTTCACAAGCCAACCGAGATCAATTATAAATAATTTGTCTTGGTACAGATTCAAACCTAAGACCTTCACCCCTGCAGGCAAACATCTTGTCCAATAGTTTCCAACATGGGGGAGGGGAGAGGGACGAACTTTCAAGGGGGACATCAAGATTTTTTTAAATCGTGTGCATTTGTGTTTGTTATAATCCGGATTGTCAGCTATAACAGTCATGAAAACAAAACTCGCCAGCTTGATGTGGAGAGTGATCTCAGTTGTACCTTGTCCATGATCAGACCAAAAATAGCAGATATCATCAAGACAAAATCATGTCAAGCATCACATAGACATTTGGACACTTCTTCTTCATCTTCTTCTTCTTCTTCTTCTTCACGTTCACCAGCTGTAAACTCTGGCGGAAAGTTCTGGTTGTTTATCCACTTCTGGATTGCAGTCCTGTTCCAGAACCTGAGTGTTGCGTGTGCATCCGTTTTACAGATCTGACTCATCTGTATGCAGACTGCAGGTTCCTTGCCTCTCAGGCAGATGCACTCCGACTTCGAAGAAAGCTCCCAATTAATCGACTCTTACGGCATGCTATTGGGTAGGCAGTGGGTCTGTTCTTGTTTTCCCTATAACAGGACCCCGGAACTCACACGGGGACTTTGGACACTAAATTACCAGTTATTGGTGATTTTTTTTTTTTTTTTTGGTTATTTGACACTGTGAATTATGTGCATGTTTTTCTCTATGTTTTTGTTAACAGTACTTAGGATTTTCCTTTTTGTCCTTCTCTTTTTTATCAGGTTTTGTTATGTTGAGGGAGGAGGGGGGGGCGGCGAGTTGGTGTGGTCTTGTGCGCTACTTGAAGAAGGTTAGAGGCCACTGATCTAGCCATTAAGGTTACAGGTTAAGAGGATTGACTTTGGGGCAGTGGGGTTTTATCACATATGGTTCAGTCTCTGCCGAAAGGCTGGCAACCTGCCAAGATTGTCACATAAAACACGATCTCCATGGCTCTGGTGATGATCCCCAGGGACCTCCATGAAAAATTACACAGCGACGCAGCTGTGAAATGAGCCTATGACCTTCATAGCACGAGCCGATGGCTTAACCGTTTTATGGCAGAGACCCTCTAGTCATTCTGGTTTCCTGATTAAAAATGACTTGTTTAATCACATAAACAAGCTGTGGAGTATCTTGAGAGAGTCCACGATCTTCAATTTCGGTTAACAAGAAGTAACCTCCCATAACCCTTCCTTCCCCCTCCCCCCTTCCCCGGGTCAATTTAAACTGACTCCCGCTGCAAAAATTCACTCAAGACCATAATGAACTATTCATGTTTCTACATTATTCACCTTCTCTCATAGGGTCTTACCACTTCTAGCATGCATCAGCCCACAGGTTTCTGGTGCAGCACCAACCATTATGTCTCACTGTCCATTTTGCAACACACCTGCCCCAAAAACATCTAAAGGTTTCTTTTGAAAAAGATTTCTTTGTGGCAGCACCATTGGTCACTGTACAAACATACTGAGAACAGAATTGCTAAGTCAGCAACACATAAACACAGCAGTAAGAACATGGAGCAAGGTGTCATTAAAGGGTGGAGTTCTGTTTAGATAGGATAGCATTTTATCTTCCTGGTTAACTGCAAGCTGATATCTTGATATCTTTGTGCATTAGGCAATAAGGAAGTTTGTATTTGTGAATATGTATTAACTCTTTGAGTCTCAAGGAACACATCATACGTTCATAGGTTCCTACCTAGAAGCCCAATGAACGCATGATGCACCGATTTTATGACTCTCTTTAATTCCCCCTGGGCCTGTGATGCAAAAGCCCTTGGGACTCAAAGAGTTAATATATATCTGTGTATATATGTATATATATATATATATATATATATATATATATATATATATATATATATATATATATATATATATATATATATATGTACTGTATACTAGGAACACTGATATAAAACAAAGTAAACATTGCTAGAGGGAGAAGGGCACTCTGGGGGATCTTTGTTTACTTGGTTGATAATAATCGTATGCTCAGTAGCAAATAAATCTAATACTATATATATATTACAGGTTGTTATGTATAAACAAAAATTTTAAGAGAGAATCTGGTCATTTTTATGTTTGCCAGCCTAAACTTAGCGTAACTGGGCTTTCATTCATGCTCTCACCTGTGATATGGGCTAGTCTATGTAAGAGGGGTGTCATGTTGTCTTGGTTCCCAAAGAGGGTTCTGTATTGTTCGTACATATATAGGTGGCAAGCTACGGATTGCGTATATTACTGACCAGGTATGGCATGAATTTAGGTGAGCGTTCAGCGCTGACGAGTGGCTAGGAGGAGACAGTTGATTTTCTGGAGCAAAACAGGTTTTTAAGGTGGAGCGGAAAATGTTAACAATTCTAAAACCATGGGACGTTCTCTGGACTATCTTGTGAGGCTGAGGCTGTGGATAGGGGGGTTTTGGTAAGCCAGTTCTAGGTGTTCTGGGATCATTAAAACACTCAACGCAGAAAGCTGGTAGAAGAAAACAGTACAACGGGACACCCCTCTGAGGTAGACCAGCAAAAATGAATGAAAGGTCAACTAGTGTGTATTTGGGCTGGGAAATGTAAAAAGGACCAAAAATATATACAAGTTTTTTTTTTTTTTTGGGGGGGGGGGGGGTGAAACTAACTAATTAAGGATGGAGAGGGAGGGGGGAATGGGCCTCAGGATGCCTAAATCCCAAATTCTACCACCCCTGCTGTACAGGTAATGACTGTATTGCTTTTTTCTCAAACATTTTTTAATCAGCTATGTTCAGCAGATTTTAATCTGTGTGACGTTGATCTTCTTCTTTAACCTACTTTCTTGTCAAAACCTCCTAGTTGTTCTTTCTGTTTGGTGTTCTAGGTACTGCAGTCTCTTGAATATTCTTCATAAGATAACAGTTGTCCTATGACATACATTTGTATAATATATATCATCTCACAAGACCGAGTTGCTTTCAGGCAGACCGTGATGAGAGCGACGTTTTGCAAAGGACCTGCTACATGATGATGATATTATCTCACAGCACAAAAAAAAAAAACATTGAATTGTTGTTTGGTGACTCTTTTTAAGGCTAATTTTTAACTGTGCACTCGGGTTGTTTTCTGCTCTGAAAAATGCTTGCCTATAGCAAGGAGAGGACCTCAGTTGGTGTGCACCTGCCTGAGAAGCGAGGAACCAACAGTCTGTACAGACAAGCTAGATCTGTAAAACAAATGTGCATGGAACTCAATAAGGCTAAAGTCTAGAAGTGGATGAACAACCAGAACTTTCCACTGCAGTTTACAGCCAGTGAATGCTAGTAGAGTGCAGACTTGATAAGAAGAACTCACTAGGGACCCAAGAACTATTTATCCGAAATTCCTATTATTCCAATGTTAATTGCGGGTGATAAACAAATTGTTCTTTTCAACATAAATTTGCCACGTTTGAGATCGCCTTAGCCGGTCTAAAATGCGAAGTAGGGTGAGGTCTAGAGAAAAATATGCTGTCAAAAATATGCTGCCATTTTATTTGTACAAATCTGCACGGTCATGACCTTGAATCCGACCAAGTCTGCATGATCAATTTACTTTTGAGGACTTTACCTGGTACCAGTTTATTGCTAGGTCGATCTAGGAGCCAAGGCTATTCGGAAATTCTAGTGTTAACCTCTGCCCATCTCTACTCTCTCTCTCTCTCTCTCTCTCTCTCTCTCTCTCTAGTCTCTCTCTCTCTCTCATCTTGCTCTCTTGTACTTATCACGAACTCGCCCGCACGTCAAGAGTTCCTTCCCCTCCCATTCATGTCGCGGCCGGTCACAGGGACTGTCCTGTGTTGTGGGGGTGTAATGTATCCTTATTTTCAACACTTTAACTGTTCTATGGACAGTGATAAGAATTCGCCTGTGTCGCTGTTCGTCAACTCTGTAGCTCAGCGACATTCCGTTTACCCCAGAGTATTACCCTGGTACTTTCCTAGAGGCTCGTTAACCCCAGGAGCGCGCCCGGTTTCGAACACCGCCCGTGGCTTGCAGCGTCGCAGCTGGATTCCGAGCTTCTGTATCGATCGCGCTAACGATTTGTGATGGTAGACTGGTGTGATGTTATATTCCTACGTGCTTTACTTGTCTTTACCTGGCTTTATTTTCTGGGGGGCTATGGGGGCTTATCATCGCCGTCAAGGAATGTCGCGGCCGGTCACAGAAATACAAAAAAAGCTCACTTGCGTCATTATTTCTACGTTGTGATACTTGCCCGACGATTCGGAAGTATCGAGACTGGCGTGTTGTTATATTTCTACTTTGCTTGTCAGTGGCTTATTTTCTGAGGGGGGGGGCATCGCCAAGGAACGCAGAAATACAAAAAACATCCCTGTTTCGATACACACGAACAGTCGCACTTTCAGTGCTCCCCCTGCAGTATTTCTTACTTGTACACAGGCGCCAGCGGCGCCTTAAAGAGACTCACGAGAACGCAACCGTTTACTAACATTATATACGGCAAGCGGACGCCAAACAAAGAAACAAAGCCATTTCATAACACCCCCACAACATGGGACAGGTCATGCGACCGACCGCGACATGAATGGGAGGGGAAAGAATTTTTTTTTTTTTTTTTGGTGTGAGCGGGCCAGTTCATGATAAGTTCTATAAATGGTTAAAAAAAATCAGCTATGTGTTTAACACACTGTGTCTCTTTCTTTTACTCTTTTTACTGTTTAATTCACTTTAGCTTTCCAGTTCAAAATTATGAAGACCACCATACGTATCTTCCTCAGATGAACATAGACCATAACAAAGTGGAGACTTTGATGCAGAAACTAGACAGTCTGGATGCAGATCTAAGAAAGAAGTATAAGAACGCATAATATGATCCCTTGTCAAGATGTGACACAGTAGTGATGTGGAAGCAACAGTTTTATATTTTACATGTTTTAATTAATTCAGAGTATGTTTTAACGTAACATATAAGATGTTTTATGTCTTCCTTACGCTTTGTATGTATTTGGTTAAGAAATGACTGGATGAATGATCAAGGGGGTGACTATGATTCTGAAGTACAATCATCAAAGGAAATATTCTCAAATAAGTCAAGAGTGGCTTCTTTTTTCCTCTTCTTCTTCGTCATCATTCTCCTCTTCTTACTATTCTTCTTCTCCCTCTTATTCTTATTTTTCTTCTTCTTGATTTCTAGTCAGTCATTTCTTTTCGTTCTCAGTCCAGTCTAGGTTTAGCTGGATCAACATCATGGCGCAAGGGTAGTGACCCATAAGTACTCCCTTCTACTTCTGCTGACTCAAGCCCAAGTCCGAAGAATCTCGGCGCAGTGCACAAACTGCGTAGCACCGGCGAGGATCCTGAAATACTTTAGGTAGATTTTTTAATCAAAATTTTGCCCGGGCAGCTACTCTTTTTCAATTTTCTACTGTTGAGGGATTTTTTTTTACATGCGCAACAACACACACGGGCGTGAACCCGGGACCTCCATCACTCGAGGCGGACGTGATGCCTCGAGACCACGCAGCCCCCGAAGTCCGGTTCGGCACCGAAATATAACGAACGTAAATCGAACTTCCGTAGATGGCTGAAATGCTTGTTCCTCGCCCAAATCGCCTGACAATTTAAAAAAAGATCGATGAGAAAGAAGATCGACGTCACTACACTGGTTTTTATCCAATATGACTACTGCGGTCGGCATAGTTTAACACGAGAAATAAGAAAGTACACAAGAAAGGATAAAAATCAGTATGTACAAGATTGCTGTATTAAAATAGAGCAGCATCACAAAAATGGAAGAGATTACGAAATGTTCAAGGAAATGAAGTTATTGACAAGAAATTTTCAACCTCAGTTAAATGTTATTTGTGACAAGTTGGGAAATACTTTAACAGAATCTAGACAAATTCTAGGAAGATGGCAGGAATACTGCAGCGGAATGTATGATATGAATGACAGTGAGGATATGAATGATATACATGAACCAGTAACAGTAGAGGCAGAACCTGAACCTTCATTAGATGAAATTTCATGGGCAATAAGGAGCCTGAAAAATGGTAAATCACCTGGATGTGATGAGATACCAGCTGAATTGATTAAAGCGGGAGGAGAAGAAAGCATAAAAAATCTATCATGCATTATGTGAAAAGATATGGAAATATGGTATTTGGCCAAAAGACTGGAAGAGAACTATCTTCATTCCAATACCAAAAAAGGGGGACCTGAAATTATGTACAAACTATCGAACTATTGCCCTGATCAGTCATGCAAGTAAAATTCTACTAAAAATTATAATGAGAAGACTGCAAAAGAAAATGGAAGAAGAGATTAATGTAGCTCAGGCTGGATTTAGACAGGGAAGAGGAACAAGAGATCATATATTCAACATGCGTTTAATAATAGAGAAGTGTAGAGAATTTAATGTAAATCTGTTCTTATGTTTTGTGGATTATTCAAAAGCATTTGACTGTGTACAACATCAGAAGCTTTGGGAAATCATGAGGAATATGGGCTTTCCATCACATATAGTGCAGCTCATTAAAATGCTCTATCAAGACCAACAAGCAGCAGTCAGAATAGATGGAGAGACATCAGACTGGTTTGGCATCAAGCAAGGAGTCCGTCAGGGATGTGTGCTGTCACCGTATTTGTTCAACCTGTACGCCGAAAATATAATGAGAAATGTAAGAGATGATATAAACAAGGAACAATATGATGCCCTAAACATCGGTGGTCATGAAATACCAGAAATTCGTTATGCTGATGATACAGTATTACTATCAACATCACAAAATGGTTTAGAAAACTTATTAACCTCACTCCAAAGAAATAGTGAAAATCATAACTTATTTCTTAACACAGCAAAAACAAAGATAATGCATACAAACAAAACTGCCATGGGGAAGGAAATATATGTTAATGAGGAAAGATTGGAAGTGGGGGAAAATTTCGAATATCTTGGGTCACTGATTACCAACAATGGTGACACAATGAAAGAAATCAAACGGCGACTATCAATTGCTCTTCAAAGACTAAAACAACTGAATAAATTATGGAATTGTACAGATAGAATTACAAAGGTCAGATTTTTAAGAGCATGCATCTTTCCCATTGCAACATACGCCTGTGAGACCTGGACACTTACTAAACAAGCGGAACAGCGCTTAAATGCATTTGAATATAAATGTTACAGACAGGTTCTAAGAATATCTTGGGTAAAGAAAAGAACAAATGCATCCATACTTCAAGAGCTGAATATTGAAGAGGGTTGGCTAGTAAAGACAAAAAAACAAAGAAAATTGAAATATTTTGGTCACTTGAAACGTCATGGAGGTCTAGAGAGAACAATAATGGAGGGGTATATGCCTGGGAAGAGAGGAAGAGGAAGGCCAAGGAAAAGATGGGTCCAGGATGTGGCAGATGATCTCCAGATGGGTGTATCAGACGCAGGACATCTTGCTCATGATAGGAAGGTTTTCCGGAGGGTTGTTATGGCAGCGAGGTTCCGCGAGGGACATGCTACTGAATGAATGAATGAATGGTCGGCATAGTGGCTGCCTGCCGATGGCATCGCTTTTAGCATCTTCTTCTTGTTCGTTGTTTATCGGCTGTAAGCTATAGTGGAAAGTTTTAGTTGTTCGTCCATTTGGACTTTGACTTTGCGCCAGGGCCTGAGTTTTGCGTGTACATCAGTTTAATTGGCTTATGTGTGTGCAGTTGATTGTTCCTTGCTGTTCGGGCGGACGCACTCCGACTTCGAAGGAAGCTCCCAACTATTCGACTCTTACGAAATGTTTTTTGGGGTAAGCAGTGGGTCTGTTTTTGATTCCGCTACAGTGGGGCCTAGGAATCCACATGGGAAGCACAAACCATGAACTGTAGAGCTTCAGCGACGGTCCCTGGTGATCTCCGAAAATGTTGCAACCCTGAATCGAATCAGAGCTGAATGCAAACATCTAAAACGGTTTTTCAAAACTGTTGTGTGTGTGTGCCATACCCCGTCTAAGCCTATCTAAAATTCTCCCCCCCCCCCATGTAACTTGAACTGTCCATTTTCGAATCTTCCTTTAACCACCCGCCCCCCCCCCTCCCCCACCCCCACTTTTACCATATTGGCCGACCGGAATATTTATGGTGGGTGATGTGGCAGCATCACACCGGCCGCCTTTACTTCCCAGGATTGTACCTGGTACCCACTTAAGGCTGGGAGTCAAAGTTATTTGAAAAAATTAAGTCAGGAACCGAACCCACGACCTTCCGATTCGCAGGCGAGCACTTAGTCGCTAGACCACGGCGACTTCTTTTGACCACCCTGAGATAACAAAAATCTCGTACTGGATGACAACAACCCTCGGTTACCTCGTTCTTCTTCCTCTTTGTCGGCATCTGTGGCTTAGGTGTTGCGAACGCGCTTCGTAATGCCGAGGTGCCCGGTTCGCTCCCGGCGATTTGACAACATTACATCTTGCGTTCTGCCCGGTCCTGCAAAAGATAGGCGGCTAACTTGTATAAAGAGGCTTGGGAATCACAAGCTACAACGATGTGATAAGTGCAGTCAAGACCGTAGCTCATGTTCAGTTTTCCACGATTTTTTAATAAGAGTTGAGAACCATTGTGTGTGGCGTGTTTTTTCCTCGTATGCCCGGCTCTTAACCTGCTCTGTAATCATTTTCTTTTTTGTTGTCTTTGTTTCCTTGCTGATGTTTTTTCTCTCACTCCGTATAACAAAATATGCCGCAACCTTTTTCGGTGAATTCTTCTCGATACCTGTAACATTCGTGTCCTTCTTGCCTACATCTTTTCATTTTAGTAGAGATTGACCAGTCAATAAATTCAAATATCTGGCAACAATATCATCAGATGGAAAATGTGTGACAGAAATTAAAAGCAGAATAGGTCAAGCGAAGGCTGCATTTCAGAAAATGAAAAGTATCTTATGCAATAAATCGCTCTAATTTAATGTCAGAAAGAGGGTACTAAAATGTTACATAGAAGCTGTTCTGCTGTATGGTAACGAATCTTGGAATGTCACTGAACAAATTAGGAAGAGTTTGGAAGCAAAAGAGATGTGGTTTCTGAGACGAATGTTACGAATACTTTGTACGGCCAGAGTAACTAACAACGATTGCTTGAAAGAAGCTAATGAAAGTAGATCTCTATATAAGTAGATCTCTATATACAACAATAAGAAAGAGACAAACATTGTTCTTTAGCCACATAATGAGAAGAGAGACATCGGAGAACATCGCGATAAATAGAAAGATCAGTGGGAAAAAAAAGGTAGAGGCAGACCAAGAAAAATGATGCTGAAACGATAGCATGGAGGGATATCATCGAGAGAGCTGTTCCATGTGACCAGGGATCGTTATCTGTGAGGTCGCATGAGCTCCTGCTTCAGTTGGCAGGGCACATGGTGATGATGATGAGAGACTGAACAACTAAACCTTCTACCCATCTGTAATTCATCATAGAACAGACCTGCATGTCTAACCAAATGCATACAGTGATCTACCACAGAGAATGTCCAAAAGGACATAGCAGTCCTCCACTGAAATGGACAAAAGAGGGAATGATTAAACAAGTACATCCAAGAAACCCCTGAGACGAACGTTAACAAGAGAAGCCAAAGGTGCTGGCCTGGCTTCCATCCATGATATCGGAAGTGATTGCACAGGATAGACCAGAATAGAGAAATAAATTGCGAGCCCTATATGACATATAATGGCAAAGTAGCACAGTGAATAGACGCGTGTCCTAGTCAATGTCCATTCAAAAGGAAACCAGTTGTAATGCCTGCTTTTCCCAACCGTACCGAAACACTTAGAAATGTAGAACTAGGACTGTTTACACGACACCGCTTCGATGACAGGTA